ATTTTTCCCCATATGTTTTGTACACGTTTTAAAACACTCCAGTTTGGCATCTTCCTAAATACGATCGACTTTAGACTTAATTCATACTTTGACCACCACCCAGAGATGGTCCTAGACGAAATTCGTGACCGTGACGTCATCAGATGTTAGATTACATCACATTAAAGATACATTTTTGCCCATAGGGTTTGTACACATTTTAAAACGCTCCATTTCGGCACTTTCGTACATCCAATCGACGTTACACTTAATACACACTTAGACCATCACCCACAGAGGGTCCTAGAAGAAATTTGTGATCGTGACGTCATCAGGTGTCACGTTACTTCACATTAAAGATGCACATTTTCCCCTCTGGTTTAGTACATGTTTTAAAACGCTCCACTTTGGCACTTTCGTAAATTTGATCGACTTTATACTTGGTACACACTTAGACCACTACCCATAGATGGTCATAGAAGAAAGTCGTCATCGTGAGTTTCAGGTTACGTCACATTAAAGATGCATTTTCCCCATAGGGTTAATTGTACACGTTTTAAAACACTATACTTTGGCCCTTTCGTAAATACAATCCATGTTAGACTTGGAACCCACTTAGACTACCACCCACAGATGGTCTTAGAAGAAAGTCGTCATCGTGGCATCATGAGGTGTCAGGTTACATCATATTAAAGATGTATTGTTTCCCTATTGGTTTTGTATACATTTTTCTTCAAACTGATACACTTTTTTACTTCTATACATGTTTGTCTGATTGACTTTACACTTGTCAGACACTAGTAAGAAGAGCAGCCTGAGGTGGTCCCCAGTGAGTTCATAACGATGACGTCATCATGTGTCACGTGCCGTGACATTAAATTAGCATTTCTTCGAATCGCTTTAACTTCGAAAGTACAAGTCCGATTTGATTAAATCTTGGTATGCACATTCACAGGGATGGTTTATAGATGAAAATTGAAGTGACGTCATCATCAAATGTCAAATGACGTCGCTTAAAGAGGCATTTTATTCTTTTATAGGCCTATATCTACAGAACTATAATGTTGGATTTGGTTTAACTAGACATGTACGTATTATAATGTGCTGTTATAGATGACATTTATAGTGACGTCACTGATTGTTCGTCACGTGCACAGAGTATTTCAAATATCCGAAACAGCTTGTGTTTGTACACAAACACATTTCTAGTTTTCTTTCTTCCTCTTCTTCTTCCACATCTTTTTTGCACAAAATCTCATAGACTTTGTACACGTGGCACATACTTAGCCTGGCACATAAGGCACACACTTAGAACATCACCTGCAGATGTATGCCGAATCACTACGTCATGCTGACGTCATCACGCGATTTATTATAGAATTTCAAATATTAATTTTTCCCATAGACTTTGTACACAGAAATTTAAAAAAAATTGTCGATTTTCAATGGGCATTTTCGTCTCTTTGCCAGTAATTCATTTACACCACTCTTTGTCCAAGCAAAGACCCTAATTCAAACAATATTGAGTAATGATGACGTCACGATGACGTCATCCGGTGTTTATTTATAGGCAATTAAATTGTGACACTTTTAATATTTGAAAATGCATAAGAAATCCACCGTACGCGTCCGCAGCATTCTGTTGCCGGCAAGTGGTAGAGTAGGTTGAGGACTGTATTTCATTTAGTGTGCGTGAAATCACGTGACCCTTGCTTCCGGTCGAAAAAGACCAAAACCGGAACTGGCTTATTATTTAAAAGTGGTACTAGATATGAACTTGCTTTTAAGGGTGTTAGTCTCTTTGCTGATAGTATTTTTCAAATCATTTACCGATGAGGTCATGCAATCTTCGAGCGCCCTCTGGCGAAAGGTGGAAACTTTTCAAAAATGTTTTTTGAATAGATGTCTGTGGCGAAGTTTGTCGAAATCGCCTAAATATTGGTGTATATGATGACCTAGACCCACTTAAGACGTGTGCGAAGTTTTAGGCATGTGACGTCATTAGATCGGAAGTTCCGTTGAAAAGACCTTTTCTTTTTCAAAAATTGCTAACAAATCAATCCGTACAGATATAATCTTGAATTGCCCATTAAATGATAGCGTAAACATTTGCCTCAACAGTGCCAAGTTCCCAGCTTGTCAAATTGTTCACACAGTTGACACGGCGTCGGCAAAAAAAATAGCCTTGCGCGAGTTGCGGCAGAGAGAGTAAAAAATGCCGACTCATCCAAAGCAAGCATAAACCGCAAGTGGGTATACATTGACCAGATTCGGCATCGCCTGCTTCCCATACACCACACATGCACGTGGTCGTGAGGGCGCGGACGGACCAAGCGCCACATTGTCAACTCATGAATATTAATTTCCCTTGTTGAACAACTCACCAATAAGATAGAGGTGCTCCAAGACGTTTTCATTCTTTCATTGGTAGGTTTTAGTAAAATAGTGGCAGTACGATAAAATAGAAGTGCTGCAAGACGTTTTCATTCTAGTGGCAGTACGTATATGTTCATACAAAAACAAGCACTTCGCGTTCTTCATAGGGCCGGTGTGGCAGGTAATTCTGTCCCCCCTGGTAAATGTGTCCCCCGGACAGATTTACCGGGTCGTGACCCGTTAAATCTGTCCGGGGGGACACTTTTACCTAGGTAAACCTGCCCTCCTCTAGGTAAATTTGTCCCCTTGCACGACGTTAAATGTGTCCCCCTGGTAAATGTGTCCCCGTGCAACGTCACAAGTCTAGCACCCAGACTGTTTATTAGTAAAGTTATTAACTGTTTTTGCGCGGCAAAAAACTCCCGTTTTGATGACGACTTCGGGAGCGAGCGATTTGCATGGTGGGCGTGCGCGCGAGTGTACCGCACCTACGGAGGGCGTGCGCGCTAGCGAAAGCTTGAGTATTACTACGCGTGCCTTTTCTGCTTTCTTGCAGAAACATAGATCGGTTGATTAACATCTAAACGTTAATTTCATTTTGATAATCATTGAGGAAGGGTGGAAAAATCTAAAAATGTATACCCTGTGCGCTGAATTTATTATAATAACATCAATATAACAACTTATGCGTGCAAAACCAGGGGGGACAGAATTACCTGGAGGGGACAGAATTACCTGGAGGGGGACAGAATTAACGGGACAGGGGAGACACTTTTACCTAGGTAATTGTGTCCCCCGGACACTTTTACCGGGGGACAGAATTACCGTCCACACCGGCCTTATGCTCGCTACACTCACATGGTTCCAGAGCGAAAAAGCCCTGTGTTCTGTTTCGACAGACATACAGTTCTAGTTTATATTTCTTTTTGACGCCTACATCCCATACACTTTGTACACGTTTTTTCTCAGTGCCACTGTTGGCATTAATCTTTGTCATACATCATTGAACGTTACCACAGCCATAGTCCCTATCCGTACCCCCTCACCGGCAAAGGAAGTACAGTTGGGGGTGCGCGGCCACTGCGTGTACATAGAACAAATCCCTTGGTGTACGTGCGTCACACACCAGGAACGGTGCGCGTCAACCAGCGAAAAGTTCCGCCCTTGGGACGTCGTTGCTAGGTGAAAGGGCGCCCTCTTTTGGTAGCGCACGGAGATCATAGCAAAGTTGTGTCCCAAAGAGAGACGTCATCATGACAACATCATGGGTCACGTGACGTCATTTAAAAAGTGCATATTGTAAAGTCCTATATCTACAGAACTGTAAGTCTGATTTGGTTGAAACTTGGTATGTAGGTAGACCGGGATGTGTTATAGATGAAAACTGAGTTGACGTCATGATCACGTCATCGTGGGTCACGTGACGTCATCTTAAATGTGCAAACTTTAATGACTGCCAAGTATTTTTACAATGACGCCATCATGGCACAAGTGACGTCATCGTAAACGTGCATACTTTAAGCCCCTATATCTCATGAACGATAAGTCTGATTGGGTTGAAACATGGAATGGGGTAGGCCGGAATGTGTTACATAAAAATTGAAGTGACGTCATCATGACGTCAACATGTTATTTTATATATATTTTTAACATGTTGATGTCTTTGCCCACATCCTTCGAACGCAATATGCTAAAATCAAAATTCTTTTTGCATTTTAATTTTAGGAAAATGTATAATGCACACATTTTTGCAAAATGTGTGACGTCATGATGACGTCATCAAAAATGCGAATTTTTAAAACACATATAAGGTAATGCCCAGTCGTCATAAAACTTGGTGGATGGGTGGATGTCCCGAAGAGTGACGTCATGATTACGTCATCATGGGACACGTGACGTCATCATGAACGTGCATATTTTGAAGTCCTATATCTACAGAACTGTTAGTCTGATTGGGTTGAAACTTGGTATGTGGGTAGACCGGGATGTGTAATAGGTGAAAAATAAGGTGACGTCATGATGACAAGATCATGTGATTTTATATGAATATTTGATTTGTTGGACCTTGAAGCCATATCTCACGAACGCAACTTGCAAAATTCAAAACTCTTTTTGTATTTGGTTTGTTATGTAATAAGTTTATGCACAACATTTTGAAAAATGTGTGACGTCATCGTGACGTCATCAAAAATGCGATTTCCGAAAACACATATAAGAGAAAGTCCGATCGTCATGAAACTTGGTAGATAGCTAGATAATGGTACTAGTATGCAAAATCTGAAATGACGCCATCATGACGTCATCAGTTGATTATTTTACGATTATTTTTAATATTTACAATTACATTCCGCTTTTCAAATTAAACACTTCCTTTCATCGGATTGACTTCAAACTTAATACAAACCAGGACCACAATGACAAAATGTGCATTGACAAGTGTTGTAAAGATGACGTCATTGCAGGGCATGTGGCGTCATGTAATAAAATTTTATTCTAGACATTATTCTAAGCATTTTGAACAACCTTTAACTGCATGAAGCACTCTACAAAGTGACTGCAAAAGGACCAACAACACATAAACATTAGTAAAATGCGAAAAAGCCCTGTGTTCTGTTTTCAAACCGACTAGCTCTAGTTATCATTACCTTTCTGACAGTACTTGCCAGTGTAGCCTTTCTCGCATTTGCAAGTGTAGCTTGAACCACTTGGCACGCAGATTCCTCCATTCAGGCAAATGGCGGCTTCACAAGGCAGTTCTGCAGTTTAATCCAAATCATTATTTTATGCTCAGCATTGAGTTATTATTTCCACGTTAATCAAAATCAAACACGTAAGCACAACTAAACTGACGTGTGGAAAAGTGATGAATGCGTAATGTCAACGTTATGTGATTTGAGAAAGAAGTTACGATAAAACTTACGGTTTGCTGGTTTCTTGCATACGCTGCTTTGTGCGTTGCTCGTACAATGCTGAGAAACACTCCATTTGTCAGAGTTTGACTGCATGTTCGAGCACAGCCTGCGACCAGAGGGCAAGTTGGAACTCCCGAAATTCAAGTAATCTGCCTACAAACACAAAGAGACAGTCCCGTCTTTGAGATTTCAATAAAATAGGTCCTTCAATTGGTCTTTCGATGTTAACCTGACGACCTGTATCATTCAAATTACATGGGAAGATACTTTAAATTCATTCAAGAACGCATTTGGGTTCCATTCTAATTTAGTCCAGTGTCATTCGCAATATAGCAATTTGTTTCGTCCAAGTTTCGAGGAATTCGTTATAAAGCGGAGATTGGTGTTGAATTCAGAAAGCAAATTTGTTTGTTTTTATCAGTCATTTGATGTGGTCAGATAAGTTTTGAAATTCTTCGACTTTCTTTTAAAAATTGAGTACATTTTTAAACCCCAAAACATTATTACGCATCGCTTGTGTAATAACAAAACAAGTGTATTACCCCTCCACAAGGTAAATTTTACTTAATAATGCGTAGCCTGTTGATAAACGCGTTGTTGTTTAGGCCTAATCCGAGTTGGGCAGAAGTTTACGCTGCATGTCGTCACCAACACCACGAAGTAACACTCTCCCACATACCAGTAAAACTACCAGTCGGAGAAAACGGCATCTAAAGTTGAACGCTTTCTAAAACAACACTGCGTCAAAACGGCAAAGTATTTTCAGTTGATTTTCTCGTTGTGGACACTTGATGAGTTGAATTTATAAAATCTGCTGTTTTTCACCCGTTTGTGTTTCAAACAAATACAAAGAGAGTATTACTTCGTGAAAACATTTTTGCTCACATCTGAGGAGAGTTCGCGCCATGCATTGCATTGGTAAATGAACTTGAGTGTTTACTTCGTGAAAACAAAAATTGTCACTTTTAAGCAAAAGTTGTTATGGATAATTAGCTTAATTATGAAAGTAAAGCTCTTGAAGCTTTGAAACTTCGTGCAATGGTACACCTTGATGAATAATGCTTAAAAATGCAAACAACTTAATATCGAAAAAATACGTGGAGTGTTACTTCGCGGTGTCATGTATGCATCGCATTGTAGGGGCATGCGGATTGTTCAAGATGGAGGACGAACGAGAGACTTTGACGTCGTGGAGATTGGCAGAACTGGTCCCCATGTTTAAAGGAAAGTTTGAACTACAAGAGTTTTAGCTCACGACATGTAACCTTCTACCCATCGTAGACTATTTTGGCGTGGTGAACGTGCGATCATCATGTATTCTTCATGCTAATTACCCATGTTTTCATTTTCATTGCTCTTTGAAGAGCAATGACTTAAAACTCCATACTCTCATATAAATAGAGTCAGTCTGTCGGTGCTGTGTATAATGCAACACAGGTACCGAAGGCATCCAACACGTACAGCGAAACCGGTGTGTTGGTGAGTCGCACTGTAATAATGTGCGTAACCATTTATCAATCACATTTTCGTGTGCAAGAAAGATCTAAAGGGCAATAAACTGGCTAGTCTTTGTAAATGGAAGGATATATTTGAGTGGTCGGGCACAACCCGACCACTCTTTGGAGTTGTAACGATATTTTTTTTTCTTTTTTCCCTACTGCACGTTTACGCGGGTTTCTCCTAAACGGTTTATAGTATGGATTTGTAACTTGAAATATATATCGACCATCAACCTAAGTGGTTATAATGGCGTCATCGGGTGTCAAGTTACAAGTGATTTTAGCTGGAAAAGTGACCAATTACTTTCACTTATAAATCTTGAACTCAATAATCAATGATGGTGGTATTCTGTAATCAGACCATTTAACTGCTTAACATTTTTTGTCGTGTACGTAAACTCGCTTGACCTTTACTTCCGGGTCTACCAGAAGGTCAAAGTTAGGTGAATTCAAAATGAAGACGTTCGCCTGAAGTCAAAACAAAGCACAATTTCTTCTGAGCGGTTAACGGTATGATCACAAAACCTTGTGTGAACTTGTACCATGTTTCGAAGATGTTGTAAATTTTGTTACGTCATCACGACGTCATCAGATATCGAATAACAAGCGATTTAAGGGCAAATTTTGACAAAATAGTTTGCGTTATATCTTTTGAACTAAATAGAATTTTATTTTCGTTCTTTTCGTGAGGTTGTAGACTATGCCGTGAGAAACATTTCGTGTAGCCGGACACAAAACCGCTTGATCATACCGAAAGTGCAATAGAAACCGAACATAACTCAAAAGCGGAAGCATTTTACTACAGACATATATATTATGAAAGTGTTTTGTGACGAATGCTAGACACAAAAAACAGTGTGATGACGTCATCATCCAAAAGGGCGCCCCCATGGCACATAAAATAGTGTTTGCTTTCTTTAATTTTAAAACCTTAGGTTCAAATTTTGCCAAATCGCCCCTTGATATTCTTTGATTAACCACAGATAACTTGGGACGGTTTCAAATTCATGACGTCATCAGACAGGAAGTTAATTCTATGAGAATTTGCCAACGATCATATTTTAAATTCAATTCTATCATTTGATCCATGTCGTATAATTTTCTTAGCCCAAATAACGATACCATTACAATGTTCACATTTTGCTTCCAAATACTGTGACGTCAGCAAACGGGAAGTTCGGTGTTATGAATATATACACTTATATTTTCCAAATGTTCATACGTTATTTAACTTTACAATGAACATCCACTCAGAACTAAATCAGTATTCGATTCCCGTTTTTGACTAATGACGTTATCAAGCCAGAAATGACTTGTATGTGCACTTAGGAATGTATACTGAAATTTTAAACACTTTTTTTTAGTAAAAGTTCACGTCTTTTCTGCGTAAAATGGGTAAACAGTGTGGGATTAAAATTTGACGCAACAGCAGCTCTGTCAAGATTACCCTCACAACGACCATGTTCCCTTCTTACTGTCATAAGGAGTACGATTTTACCCAATATTGCCTATTTTTTTCTTCGAGTGTAAGTACAGTTTTTGAAATAATTTACGGTTTTTTATTGAATAAAAAAAATGTAATCTATTGTTATGACTCTTAATTTGTTGCACCTCTCAATGTGCAGATGGCCATGGAATCAGGCTGAATGTGCGACTCATTTGCTTGGATAAAGAGCGTGGTCTTGGTTCGTGGCTTCATTTTATTTTTAGGAACATCGAAATCACGCATGAACGTTAACACCTGTAAAGTTCCATTATTGTGTTTTAAAGGCATGAAAAGACCTGATGAGTTGCAGGTATTTTAGAGGGTGTGCTTTTGTTGTTTCAGTATCAACGAATGCACAAGTTTACTCATGCCTTTCCAAGCGATACAAAGCCATTGCCCTGTTACTCCGCTTTAACGTATTGTAGCGGGAACCTATTTGGGCTCTTGTCCTCCGAGTCAAGCAAAACGCTAGAAAGGGGGACACACGCATACGAAAGAAACCTACTTATAGGCAGTTTCCGGAGAGCGCGCTAGTAGCCAGACAAACGAACCAGGGCCCAATTTCAAGGCGCTGCTTAACAGTTAGCAGAAAAGTTGTGTTTAGCATAGCAGAAAAATTTGCTAACCTTAAGCACTATTTCACGGCGTGTGTGTTAACGGTCGCGCGTGCATGGAGATTTCTATTGTTACGTCACTAAGTTAAGCAAATTTTTCCTCTGAGGTAAGGCCCCCCAAAAAAAGTCTCCGGTTTCTGGTATGCGCGCGCGTCGCCGTAGACATTTGCGTCGACAAAATGAAAAAGTTTTTCAATGAAAGATGATGTCTCAAAACCGCCAAACTCACTGGTTTGACTGGAATCCTGCTACTGCACAGTTTTAACGTGTTTTAAAATGAGGTTATGATCGAGAATAAGCTTTATGTGGCCTCTCTGGACTCCCATATATTTGCACTAAGCTTAGTCGGGCACCATTTGCAGTCATCAGCCGACATTTGAAGCAAAAAAGTCAGGTAAAAAAAAAAAAAGCCGCGTCGGCGCACCACTTTTTTGGGCACTTTTTTATACCAGAAACGGGAGACTTTATTTTTGGCCTAAGCGTGCCTTTTGCTGTGCTTATGCTTACGGTCTCCATGAAATAGACGGAGGCTCTGTTAGCAGAAAATCATGTGCTTAGCAGCACCGTCCAATTGGGCCCAGGTCAGCGCACCTGTGACCCAACGCCGGGCCCAGGTCAGCGCACCTGTGACCTAACGCCGCGCGCCAGCAATGTGCTGCCGAAGCCCTCCGACGGCGGCTATTGGACAAAGCAACAACAAGTGATATACAAAGTGTCCGTTACAGTATACAGTCTCGCAAGAACTCAATATGAATGACCAAAGCGCGAGAATGAGTTTTAAAAAAACAATGTGGTTTTTCAATTCAACGCCAATCCCAACATGAGATAATTTCCCGAAACTTGGTGAAATTTGAATGCTACATTCCCTGAGTTACACTGCAATCGAAATAAAATCTGTTTGTACCCACTTGAAAGTGAGTCAACAGGGGAGCCCAACCATTTTGGGGGAACGACATTATATTGTCATTCCATTTAATGTACATGATGTGTTGTATTGTGTTGAGTTAACCGCAAACGTTAACATTATCTATTCGAGTAGGATTCTGCCGGAAACGTATTGTTGAGATTGCCATGATGTTAATTTACGGGCCTCCAGAGTAGGCCGATCACTGCTTACCGGCGATCGATCCGTCCACTGCAGGACCTTATCGCCATTGTGGTCCTCGAATCCGAGCCAGAACCAACCACCGATAGCCTTTATTTTATCTGTACGGAACGATAACAAACAAAGGTTAGGGTTTGGGTTGGGGAACATCGGTACTTGGGAACATAGGTATACACCCCGCCCAGAGTCATTGGTGTGTATTTGCCACCGCCTGAAGATTGCCATTGGGATGTTTTAGCAGTGAAATTGAAAAGGGATGGCTTCAACCCAAACATTGAACAAACAGTGTAGAGGTGGAAAAGTTATCACTTTGGGGAAATTGAGGAATTGCTTTGGACTATTAAAAAGAAAATTTGTCAACACTATCAATATATTTATGAGCTGTAGCGACCGATGTACAATCAAACGAATCCTGCTGCTACCATGTGGCAAATCAATCGGGCAAATTAAAAGAATTTGGAGAGATGTAGAAGTTAGGGTAAATACGAATGTTCAAATGCTCAACATCGTGAACTTAATCAACGAGAGAAATCATTAGAATGCAAAAGAAATAAAGTTAGTATTTTTGCGATTGATCATAAATGGAACAGATCCCTAGATCGCAAAAGGAACATACCATAGATGAATTGATTCTCGGCGTGATTGTGAATGCTGGCCAAGTTGCCACCTTTGTTTATGCAGTTCTTCTGATGTCCATCAAAAGTGCGGTCCGTTACAGTCTTGGTCCAGAACAGGTAACAACTGCCCTGGAAGTGATGCCAGCCGGTGTTGCAGGGATCTGCACAGAAAAATTAAGCAATTTCAACGAAATAATTAGTATTGAAAAGCTGTGAAGAAAAAAAGGCGAAGTACAATTTTGTTTAAATGTTGGATTACTTGAATTTAAATGTTAGGTGTAGATAATTGCGGCTTTGCGGTTTTAATTTACCAATTTACCTTTTCAAAGATGAAGTTTATGAAGTTGATGAAAAAAAAGTACAACATCAACGTTAAATACAAGACCAACCAAACCTGCTTGAACTTTTTATCACTTACCAGGGTTATTAGCTTCAACAGGGTTGCTACCTGAAATTGAAACAAAAGTAAAACACCAGAATTGGCATAGAGATGCTAAGATATAACTGTATTCGGTGAGGATTAATCAATTAGAGAGGACACGTCTGTTTAATCAAAGCGCATCTCGGTGATCTCACTGACAACACACACATCTAGTCCAATTCGTCATTACTTGAATGACACGTATACCAATCAGAGTAAATGCTTAGATCTTTTCGACGTGGTTGTAGCCAGAATATGGAAACGTTGTGACCGAAGCCTGATAACATTCCGTAAATTCCACCCCTTGAATGTTTAAGACGTAAACGTCTACAATTCTACACGATCTGATACACCGTGCCCTCTGGATGCATGCACACAATAGGGACCCAAAGATTGTATACGTCTCTACAGGGCAATTTCTAAAGATGAATGCGTCTCCACAAGGTTTTCACGAAAAAGATATATGGATTTTACTCAAAAACTAGGAATTTCCAAGGTATGTTGATACGTTGCAAATGGCAGAATTTTAGAAAAGGGATATTAAGTCCGAATTTCAGCCAAGGAAATTAATTCTAGTTAAAATGAGAATTTTAAAACTGTACTTTCAAACTCGAAAAAAACTTAAGTACCACGAGAACAAAGAAATGTCACCACAAGGATACAAATTTCAGTATCTGTGTTTAAATATTTATACCCCACAAAGGAGGATTGGTAGGGATAGAAGTCTCGCTTTTATCTGATTGTCACTTCTTCGACCCCATTTGTAACCAAGCATTCAGTGGTGGCATGATCGGTTACGTGACTGTTACGTTACTGTCTGTCATAACTGATATTCGTTAAGTAGAGCCCGACATAAAAAAACTGCATGATTTACTGAAAACAAAGCATTCATGAAACGTTTACTTGCCTATAGTCAAGAGGCAGCCCACGATGATAGCAAGAACCAATGGTGCTTCCATGATGGTCTGAAGGGTTAAGGAGAACGAATTTTGCAACCTAGCAGCAGATTATCAAAGCAAGTAATATACTTGCACTGGTCGGATGGGTTAATAAGGTATACATGTACAGTGCTTTGCTTTGGACTACTGGGGTGGGACGGAGGAAAATGGCTTTTCGCCCTAACTCACTCCGCCTGAAAATAATTTCCATTCCGAAACGAATTTTGCCATCATATACATACTCTTTTTCTTCTTTTATTCATCGAATTTTTTTAGGAACACTATTACATTTTCTCTAGAAGGCACAAGTTTGTAATAAGCGTCCAGTTGAAAAGATGAATATGATGTCTGATTCATTTTAAGTGGTTTGTATAAGGATCTTCTCTCTGCAGGCAATGTATTGTGATAGTATAGATAAGCTAGTCATTTTCCAGCACATGGAACATAGGAACCTCAGTAGACTAAAGCAACGTTGAATTTAAAAGAAGAAAACAATGCAACAATTTAACATGTAGTCCAGACTCAACAATTAAAGACTATCAAGAATCGGAAAAGTCGACCGACCGACTTACCTTAGAGTTTGTAGTATCGCCAGATATGCTCAGCTGTATCAACGGCAGGGTCTTTAATAAAGAGGAATAGAGGAGACGCATGCGCACAATTCATCCGGCTAGCTGTCCAGGGAATGATTGGCGTGGTCTACTGTAGCCAATCAGTGAGCGACAGCAAGATATAAGCGGCTTTCCATTAAAGGTCTATCAATTGCAACGATAGGTCCTTATTTACAGTCGTAGGTGTCTATAGTAATTTTGCGTGTATTAAAGTAGGAGCAGCAATTTACTATCGTGTCTTTGCAAGTAATGGTGAAGTTGTGAATAGCGCATACCGACAGGGGTATGTCTGTGATGGTAGCCATATTTCATGTGCTATGTACTACTTATGTAGTTTTGATATAAAAAAAAATATTTTTTAACACTGACGTTTCTCCTGTAAATTATACACTAACAGAGAAACAATAAGTTAAAGATAGCACTAGAATATATTTTAACGATCGTACTTCATATTAGTATTTGATGTAAAATCAAGTGCAAAAGTATGAATGTTCCGGGTCATGGTGCATTGAATCGGGATCTTTAAGAGTGGATCATAGACTTTCAATAAATGACGTATGTTAATTATATCCCAAACGCAAAGGATGACCATGACAAAAAAACACTTTTCTCCAGGCTAGTGGTGGCTTAACCCTAAGGGGCCAGTGGGCGGAATCCCCCTCCCTCAACTTTTTCCGCGATAGCCTTAAAAAAAATTCTTCGACCCAAGCTGTTCTGACTTTTTAGCATCGAGCATCTTTTGATACAAAAACATAGAATTCGGACCCCGGTGCTACGCGCCGTGAAAACTGAATTTCACTTTATACGTATTGTACACAGAGCAGAATTACCAATATGAATAACCCTTTGACCCATAGTCATGAAATGTCTCGGGTGTGTTCATGAATAGTTGTTCTATTCATGTGCAGAGTTTCATAATTTTTCGTCACTCGATGGCCGAGATCTTAGGAGGGGGCGAACCCCTCCCCCCCCCCCCTCCCCGGCTGAGAGATGGTCAAAATAACCCTGCCCTTTAATAGGGTTAAGATGTCCGAAGAAAGTAATGTGCGTTTAAAGGAGTTGTTTCATAAAACGCTACAAGATATTGTCCGTGAAAAATTAATAATCAAAAGATTTGTTTATCATCACAAACCTGGATCCACATGTCAAAATTCCTTCCAACGTAGATTTGGCTGGGCATAAGCAAATCGGCATAGCCAACAGACTTGTCAAGGTGGGGCGATGCCATGCAATGTTTTGGGTACATTATTGTATGGCGTACAGCGCTCGGCTCTCACCGCATGGCGCGGGTTCGATTCCCGGCTTGGGTCATATGTGAGTAGAATTGTCCACTGATTCTCTTTGCTGATTCTCGCTGATTCTCAGCACTTTCGGTATGGCTGTGCTGCGTGGTAAGGCATGGTTTGTATTATGGCTACATATGAAGCGACTTTACTTGCCTTCAGCTCAACCGCGTTGTAGCTGCGCCCTTCGTTATTCAATTTTTTGGAGTAATGACGTTAGACCAACTTCCTTAAATGATTGATTTAAACCTTACCATGATGTTTTAGTCATGCTCATACAACTTGCACATGTATGCCGTTCACTTCATCCCACGATCCACAGTGAAAGTGCATTTATTTTCACATATAAATTCACCACTGAATCGAAAAGCTAAATAAGATAATTTTTATTCAAATTGATGGTGCTGGATCATCCAAGACTATAAAGATGCAAAAAGGATACAACTAAACCCTTGTGAAAACCCCTTTAAGAAGAGGCAAGAACATCTAGCAATATAATTACCCGGAGCGTAGTTGTCTGTACTTTTTTAAGACCAAACAAGATTTCTGTAACCACTCAACCACAAATGCCTTAAGGAGCATTTCTCAGGGCGGGAGGTAAGTTGTAATTATTTAGGTAACAATTTACTGGACAAAGTTGGGGATACATAAAACAATTATTAAAAAATGAGGGTCAAATTGTAGTTTCGCTACTGCCTAATGGCTTTTAAAATGAAGACCGTTGTGATCATTTTCTTTAATTATTTTGTTAAAAGCCTTTTTGGTTTAGGCGCAGTAGTTTTGTAGGTATAGTCAGAATATGGCTCTGTACCAGCAAACACTTACAGGTTCACCCAAACGCCTGCTGATATTAGTATTCCATTAGTCGATATAAACAATTAATTTGTGACACAGGCTCCTGTTACTTTGCTTCCAACACGAAGATAGTCGTCTCCGACCCTTCCCGCCATCTCTACCTGTTTTAATGCAAGGATGTGTGTGTGTTCTTGGGTTATAAACATTGTGTAATCATTCGAAAAACTAAGTGTACTAACGATGCCTGATTCCCATAGGCTAACCTAACGTTACTTTGGTAACATTAAAGCAGCAAGAACTTTAACTTATACGCTTTTTTAAAAAAAAAAGGGCGTTTTGTGGGGGAATTTCTCGCAGCAAATGTCGTGGTCGGGTGCGCATGCTCATGTGTTTGGAAAATACCTGTCATGTCATGTGGCACAAA